CCCCCCCCCGGGCCACCCCCGCCCATCCCGGATGTTGGCAGAGTGAATGCCGCCTGTGGTGGGTCCCGAAGCGCTTCCCTGTCCAAAGTCCGCGGGACGTGGTCCCCCCCCCCCGCCCGCCCTAGCCCGACGATGTCGCCCACACCTTGGGGGCGGGCGCGCACGTACGCACGCACGAGGCCACCTGCCGAGAGCGGCAGTCACCCGGCTCGCGGGCATCGGCGGAGGGAGCTTCTCGTGCGGTTCCGGCCGGTATCCGCCCGACCGTGTCCCTTCCGGGCCCGGCCCCCGGTGCTCTCGCCAGGGTTCGTGCCCCTTGCCTTGCAGAGGCCGATAAGCTGGGGGTGGGGCGCGGGGCGAGGCCCTCCCCTCCATGCGCAAAGGGAGCGCCCGGCCCCCCCCCCCTCCCCGCATTCGGGACGGCGAGAGCGGCCGTCACCAGGCAGGGCGTGTGCCCGTGTGCGTCTCGGAGGCCTGCCGCGCGGTGGGAATGCACGGCGCCCTCCTCGAGAGATCGCTGGCCGGGGGGGGCGTGGAGCGCGGCCGTGGTTGCCGGGCTCTCCGCGGGAGCGAGCGAACGGGGGAGGCGGGAGGGGGCGAGGGGCAGCAACGAACTTCCTGCATCTAATTGGCACTGGCGGCCTGGGGCCCCAGCCTGCGGGGCCTGGTCGAATAGACCGCTCACGGGCGGATCCGGATGTATTTGCCCCCCCTGATTTGTGCGCGGCGGGCCCTGTGGCCAGATCATCCTCAACCGTTGCGAGCTCCGGGCGCCGGCTTTTCCCGGTGGGGGCGGCGTGGGCGGGGCGGCCGCGACGCCGTGTGCCGGTCGCCCGGGGGAGGGTCCATCATGCCGACCCGTTTGGAGAGTGCCGGGCGCCGGCCGGGAGGGGGGAGAATCCCCCCCTTGGTGCTGGTGCTAACACACGCGGGACCTGCTCCGAGACGCCCTCCGTCTGCTGTCCAGCCCTGATGTGACAACTCTCTCTCTCTCTCTCTCCCTCTTTCTCCCGCGCGGCTTTTGCCACGTTCTTTCCCCCCACGCCCTCGTGTGGCTCGGCGCCCCTGCGCGCGAGCTCCACGGGCGCTGACAGGGGCCGGGCGCTGGGCCAGGAGCGCATCCAACCCCCACTCTTGGGTCCGCCGGTGGGCGGGAGGCCACTTTCGCGCGCCGCCGGGCCGGGAGCATTCCCCCTCCTCGGTGCGTACCTCGATGTGCCCGGGGCCGTAGCTTGGATAAGGCCGGCCGCTCGGTGTGGGGTGCGCGCGCGCGCGCGCGCGTGTGCACCCGAGGAGCACCCTCTGCCGTCCGGCCTCCCCGTTGGGTGGAGGCAGTCTCCTCGCCCCGCCGGCCGCGGCTCAAGGGGCATGAAAGGGGAGAGTTGTCAGCAGGCCTGCCTTTGTAGAGGTTTCCGGCGAGATGTCCCCGCCCCCTCTCGGCTGCAGGGCCCCCCGTGGGCGCCGGCACGCGCGCGCGCGCGCGCGCGCATGTGTACCGCACACATGCTTTTGCCAGTGGACGGGCATCTCCCCTGGGGTGGGGCTGGCGGGCATGTGGAGAGCCGCACCCTGGGTCGCATGCGTGTGGTGTTTCATTTCCCGGGCCCAGGCAAGATCGGACTCTGGCGGGCGGGCGGCCGGCCGGCCGGCCGGCCGGCCGATGGCTCATCCTCGGAGCACGTCCACCGGTCGCGCCGGCGCGCGAGGCCGGGGTGGCCAACTCGCTAGTGCGTGGTGCGCGGCCCGCAAGGCGCCCGCCTCGCGGAATGGGGCATGTCCACAGGGGCAGGCAGGCGGGCGGACGGGAGGGGGGG